ATATATATATATATATATATATATATATATATATATATATGTAGAATTAGTTTAAATTTTTTTTAAATACTTCATATGTTTGTAATAAATAATGTACTTCAGTTTCCGGGTCAATGACCCCCCCATCTCGAACAGGTTTTTGTCCAGTTTCCCTGATCCATTGTGCAAATGCTGAGATGGCCCCTTGTTTTGCTTCTGGATGTAAATGTAGCTTCACTATGCGCACATTTTGTTGAACTCTCCATTTGCTTGTAGTGGTAGGAGTAGAGGTAAGGGTAAGTTACTATTTTGTTAGCAATGCAGAAAAATCAAACCTGCAGTTCTTTTACCGTAGAAAATACGTTTTCTATAACTCAGGAACGAAAAAGTCTAGTTTATCAAATGTTGCTTATCTTGCACTTTTTTAAATTTTAAATTTATTTATTTATTTATTGAATTGAATTTGCCTTATTTTACGTGGCGAGACTCAGGCCATCAGGCCCGCTCTTCCATCTGACCACAAATATTCACCTTTAACTTTTACTCATCCTTCAACTATTTATAGTTTAAATGATGGGAAGGGATTCTGGAACTCAAGAAAATGTACACAGATGATCTTCTCCGCCATACATCACGTACAGTTTTTACTGTTTTTTTTTTTTTTTTTACTAAATAAAACTATATCTAAATTAGTAGTTTATCTTTAGAAAAGAACAACACTGAAAGTATCTATGAAAACAACTTTAATATACATATTTTACATAAAAATCTCTTATTAGCACAAGTTCATAAGAATTGTTTTAATAATATTTTATACAATTAGAATATACATTAACAATGTCTCAGTTTCATGTGAACTCATGAATCAGTCAAGAGTGGTAGGAGTCAGAAGAAACCAATGGTATCTCCCTGGTTCAGTTTCTGCATGGGCTGTTTGATGAAAAATTTTCTATTCCAGTGGACAAAAATTAATTAAAAAGGTCATATCCAAAAACAACACACACTTGTTAATTTATTGTACCTGGTTGACCCTCTTATGATTTCTGGATACAAATTGAAGAGTTCTGGGTTGAACCATTCAGGAGATATTCATTTACTCCCATAAAAATGGTCATCCTTTTCATAAATGAGATGCATGAGCATTCAGGTGTTAGAAGTGGAACCTCTAAAAGATTCTTAATGAATTCCAAAGACCAATGTACATATTTCAGGAATGATATTAAGGCACAATTAAGCAATTTGTAAAATTAACAGGGAAATAAGACTTGCATTCATCAGCCTGCTATGGTATACTCTTCAGGCAATAATAGAGACTTACAAAATTGAAAAATGTACAACGCGTGTTAAATACAGTTTAAAAAAGTTATTGATATGGCTGCTCTTTTCAGGTGAATTATTTTTGTGCAAAACATATTTTTCCTAGCTATTTCGAATGATGAAAATCAGCTGGTTCTGCACAACATACCAACTGCCGTTTGGTTTGAAACTCATTAAACCACTTCTTTATGAACTGAACTTCTTAAATAGATAAAACAATATCATTCTTTGGTACACCAATTTCAAAAGCCGTGATCTTGAATCAGCAGGCTAGCACACTGGCAGTTCTAATCTCATAAAATTGTGCAGATAATGAAGATCATTCTTCCTTATTTTTGGGGACATCTGTCTTCCATACAATATGGCGAGAGGATGAATAGAAAAAAAAATAAAAAAATAAAAAGATATTACTGTCATAAATCCAATGACAATAAAAAGGCTTTCATTTAATCTTCCTTGTGGCAGAAAAACAATAGTATTTTCTATTTTTTTTTCAAAACTATGTATATTCACATAGACTGTGTTGTGCAAAACATTTTTCCTAGCTATTTTGAATGATGAAAATCAGTTTCCTTGTCACAATCCTTTCCTTGTCTCTCTAATGTATCTAGATAAATGTCAATGACTCCAAAATGGGAATGTGACTAATTACAACTTCTATGGCCAATTCCTTTTAATACATTATATTGCTATTTCAATAGCTCATAAAGACAAACTGTCAAAAACAGGACGAAATACTTTCTTTAAAAGGCACTTATTGACAAATTGTGTTCTTCTGCTTATGGAGATAGGAGTCTATGATATTAGAAATAAACCAATTTCATTTCACTGCCTATAATATAAACTATGATATTATAAGAGTATTTCAGATGCTATTTAATGAAAATAAAAGATGATGGTTAATAAACTCTTTCACAAATTATAATAGTTTTAATTACCTATAAGTTTGTAAGCGAGTCAAAAGTCTGAAACAAAAGGCTCTGAGAAAATAAAATCACTTGGAATCAACATCAACATTAATCTAGGATCTAGCCTAAAGAAACAGGCCGGGTTATCATGTAAAAATGTATTATTCCAAACACGCTGGAACAATTCATAATCAGTAATTCCAATAATATTTCCACTCAATCTTCAAACATTTATAACATTTATAGTATAAGAGATTTCACCTCAAAAAATCTGCATACTCATAATCTTTGTAATTCTCAATGAAATTGTAATTAATAGTTATGGATGTTCAGACCAGTGAGGCCATTTCTGAAGTTCCTGATACAGTACATTACCTGGACTTTCAGTCGCAGACACTTGTTTGTGGCCTAATAATTTGTAATTTTCAGATATTTTTCCTAATTTAACTCCGAGTTCTATCAACTGCTTCGCTGCTGTTAACTGTCTTGCAGGGGGCAAAACAGTATTAAATGTTCCTATGAAGCTTATGCCTATGCTTACATTATTATAACCATAAGCATGTGCTCCAATTGTGTCCCAACCACGACCAGTATATGCAAATCCATCACCTCCAACTAAGAAGTTGTATCCAATATCCCACCAACCTCTACTTTCTATGTGGAATGTTTGCACTGTTCGTACTTGTAATATGCACTCCGCTATTTTTAAACACTGTTCAGTAGCTGTGTGACTAATGATAACATATGGCACTGGTGTAGTAAGAATAGGCAAAGGAGCAGCAAGTGGTTGAGCCAGCCACTCCTTACGCTGCATTATACGAAGTTTTCCACTTAGGGTGAAATTAGTAGCTAGAAAAAAAAGAAGAACATATATGAATACAGTCTCGAAAATTTAGGATGACCTTATTACACTAAGATATTAATAACTATGAAATAAATGAAAGATGCTAAAACACAAGATACAAATATCATTGTGCATCATATTTAACAATAAGATAATTTATATTTTTTCTAGTTTCATCTTGTTGAATATTGTATACACGAAATAGCTTTTGAATAAATCAATTACCATTTCGTATTTAATATTTTTGCCCCCCAAAAAAACTTAATTCAAAGAAGCAAACTAATGAAACTGTATAATGGGACTGAAAACATCTTTTCATACGTTTAGAACGTTTCAAGCATTAAAGAGCTGCAGATGTTCTGAATTTCATTTATTACTTGAGTATTTGATGTGGTTTTTACTTGCTTGTAAAGTTACATAATGCTGCGGGAAAACTAGGTCACAATTTTGATGGAAATACACATTTCAGTGTTCACCGAAACATTACAAATTAGCATGTAATCACCAAAACTTTAATTTTTTAAAAGCCTGGCTAAAGGAGTTAGCATATGTTTTCAGCTGCTTCATTCAACTATGACCTAAACTTGTTCTTTTTATTCATGAAATCTGCAGGAAAAAGTAAAATTTTGCATTTTTTTAAAAGTTCTGTGCTCGCTGCGTTCCAAAATGTCAATACTTTTGATAGTGCAATCACTGGTGCGCCCACTTCAGGAGCATTGACTTTTTCACAAATTTAGTTCTGACTAAGTTTGTATAGTATCGAAAGTAATTTAGTATCACAATTGAACACACTATTAATAACTACAAATCAACAAATAAATCAAATTTAAAATTGAGCCTAAATGTAACATCCCTGAACAAAACATAAAGTGTTGGTCACATCACATTAATCACTTATGCAAACTTAGCACCACATACCTCCAGTTTGGCCCATAACTGTTTCGGGAGGCACAACAGGGCTGTTGGATATTCGATTTTCATACTTCAGCACCAAAACAGTCAATGCAACTAGAAGAACAGTAGAAAGTAATACTGCAGCAGCCGTAACTATATAACGTATAGGTGGCCCACAGCAACAAATATATTTCAGGAGAAACCCTTCACCAACTGAAACAAATTATGCAACATTTGCTATAGTTAAAAACACTGCATATATTATACTGATATACTCGTACATTATCTCAGTACACACATTCATTCCCCTACACACGCTCTCACATACTAGTGTTGCAGTACATATTGTTGTAATGCTGTAGGAAAATAATTGTTTTCTCCAGAAAAAGTGTTTTTGTAGGTCCCAGGTAGTGAAAAATTGGAGAAATCTTGCTTCTATATGTACTTAACTACATTCTCAAATATGTAGTAGTGGTAGTAAGCAAGGTTAAGCAGCTCGAGTCAACGCGGGTTCCTGGATAGGTAATGGTCTAAAAACCCCGGGGATCTGACGCCAAGCCCCTGGACGAAGAGATAAAAAGGCAATGGCCAAGACTGACTAGCTTAACGGAGGATTACTCCACGTTCGACGACCGTAAATGGTTAAGAGCGCGTTGTTACGAAAAATCGTGACAATTAAAAAAGTCAGTCTGAAAAAAAAAAAAACACTAGCGTCTAAATCGTTCACTGGATTTTCACCAATTTTGATTTTCTCCAATCGATATGGCTGACGTCGCGCCCCCTCGAATTTGAAAGGGCTATTTCAATTTTTTATTTTAATTTTAAACGAACGTTTGACTTCGATATTTCCGATTTCTTTTCAAAAATTTTCTTAGAGATAGATTAGAGCAAAGTAGGCTTATAGAAAATAGCGCAGGGCTGAAACCTCTGAATTTTCGCAAATGGCAAAAGTTAACTATTTTTTTGACTTCTCTAATTACGTTATAAATACTAGAGATAATGAGCTATTTAATACTTTGTACAGGCACAAAATAAAGAATTACTCTCATTACAATTGTTGAGCCAGTATCATTCATTGCCCTTCACACCTCACTATCGGGTCTGATGTGGAATAATAATATATTAGTAGTGCTACAACAGCGAATAATTTCTCGCATTATTTCTAACTTTCGCAATTTTCGAAAAACCAGAGTGCAACGAAACTGCACCAAATACATTACTGAAGGCTAAAAATTTCCATAAACCAGTTCTCAAAATTAGATTTGTAAATAATGATGCGAATTAAAAACAATAGTTTTTGTGTAATTTTGAGTGAAATGTTCTAAAAAAATACGCAAACAACAGGTTTTCAAAAATCGGTTTCCAATTTTTAACTAAGTTTTTGCTTCTAGTAGGGTAACGTTTGCTTAATAATACGTTGTCTTATGTCTCAATTTCAACCTCTGGAATTTTTAAACATTTTTAGGTGTAATTTGTTTTCTAACGGGTTTTACAGTCAATACAGAAGCTGGAGATTGCTTTCTTAAAGCAAAGTATTTTTCCATATTAGATCTTCAAATCATTTACTGTACTTTGAAAATATTACGTTTTGAGAAATTGCGAGATAAAATGGTCTTATGGATCAAGTGCAAAAAAATGCAACACATGAGAGTCTGCCATGACTTTCATGTATAGCTCATTTAGCGGCGCAAGTCCTGTCAACTGCAGCGCTGGGTTTTGATTCCTGAATTATTATTATTATTATTATTATTATTATTATTATTATTATTTACCTTTTGTAAGAGGAGAACCATATTACAGAAACTAATGTTCATTGAAAAGTTTGAAATTGCTCAGTAAAACATCGTATTGAATGGTTTAAGAAGATGAAAGTGAATTACGTAGTTAGAACTTACATTTGAGGAATGCAATTATTCTAATACATTCCACAAAAGTAAGTTCTAACAACGTACTTGCATTAGTATTAATAAGTACATTTTCGATTTCATTTGTTAGGCAGAACCGTTAGAAAAGGGAGCTGTTTTGCGAAACGAATACCAAACATATCCTTGGAGTACTGTTTAGTGAAAACGGCGAGTAATAAAATTGTCGCTTCCGTCGTCTCTATAAACATATGTGGATTTTTAAAAAATATATATTTTCCCGTATTTTCTCTTATATCGTTTACAGAGTGACGGACGAAGTGTATACGCATTGAATGCGTGAAAGTATGTGCTGTTGTTATACCATTAATACCGAACATAAGCCACCCCACTCAGGATTTTCATAGCAAGAAGGCAGGGTCCTGACATCCCTTAGATAGGCTATAGCAGGAGCTAATTCCAAACTCACACTCTTATATTTAGCAAATGGTCGGTTTCAATCAGGGTATATAAATCATGAACGCGAGATGCAATAGTGGTGCCGAAAAGAGTTGCATGGTTACAGAAAAACAATTCAGAAAAAACTTATTTTTTTAACATTCACATTTCTGTATTGAAGCAACGAAATAATTTCTATTTTTTTAATCATATGTATATGATATATGTTCCATTTTCTGTATCACATGCAATTCCTGATCTTTTATAATACAAATTAATAGAAATATTTTTTTCAAAATACGAGTATAGAGCATTTCAAAAAGTAAACCCTAGTTCGAAATCTGATCTTTTAATGGCAGAGGAAGATACATTCTTCGTAATGTTTACATTGTGGTTAACATTACTTGACATAAATTCAATAACAATAGTACTTTCCATAGCATTTTGCTCATTTTCATCCCATGCGCCTCTACAAAAAGGTTTTTGTTTCTCCTGGACAGCTTCTGTGTGTTTTTACATCATATGAGCTACTCTCACCCAGTCTTCGTCAGCATTGCCATTACCAGAAAGATTAGTCACAAATCTCTATTAAAAATTTGAAGTATCGCGTGAATCTTATCTCTAGGTTTTCAAATTTACCTGTAAAACGCCGGTTTTGCGGACCCGCTTTGTTGAATTCTTGGTACTGCATGTCCATTGGGTGTGACATAACCAAGTGTACAATTTTAACGGCAAAAATCTGCTTATTCTACAACCTTTAAATGATCTTCCTACTTCAGCTCATTTAATCCCGTCGGAATCAACGCTCGAAGCACCAAATACAGCTACTCGCTCCACCAACTCTATCGCGGCAATGAGGTTAAGAAAGTTAAGTGCATTGCGGCAGAAGATGAAGGAGAGCAGCGAATATATCAGTAATGGGTCATTGAGCGCTCACACATGTTTATTCTCGCCGACGATAATGAGCCAACCTCGCTTACCCAGGAAAAGATACGGTTCATGGATTTGGGGGAGGATTGCCAATGCAACATTGGTGCCGGTTGGCGGTAGGGTCATTTCTTGTGAGAATGCTAAAAAAAGGTAGTAAAGACAAAGTCTTTTCGCAGAAATTTGAGTAATGTGTAAGTCAACACCGCCTGCCACCGCCTCGCGCCCGGACGTTAAGCCCAATGTGACCCAAGCGCGCAGGCTTCAGTTGATGAGTTCAGCGAAGGCCGACAAACAGTATTACACGATCCGATTGCTGATATCTAGGAAGTCAACCCCGAATGATCGCAGGAAGGAAAGTTTCTATCTGTATTATCTCCAAGAGTAACTGGCTACCAGCATATCGACTCGCTTCTTCCTCGATCACGTTCTCAAAGTGATAATTAACAACTGATTCATCTAAAACCATCAGTGAATAAATGAATCAATGAAAGGAATAAAAGTGGCGGTTGCACAAACCTGCAACAGAGACAGAAAGCGAGAGCTTGACACGAGTTTGCAAAAGAGACCTGCGTGTCTATGGCGAGAGAGTGCGGAGAAACAGTTGACATTGCTGCAGCCGCAGGTTTTTCTAGTTGTGAAGACATATCCGAAACTTAATAACGTAGCCAGCGTTTTCCTTTGCATATCTTCTCAACTATTAATGTAATTGTAATACAGTAATGTCACTGTAATGCAAAGAAGCAAACGCTGTCAATGGCAATTTGGTGTAGATAGTACTTCGTTTAAAATGTGCGTGTTCTTTGGCAGGGTACACGAATACAAATACTTAATCTGATGTATGAACTCTCATGTGAAATTTAAATATCACATAAACTTCTATGAAGGCAGGAAAAGAACCCGCTACGATTGTTCACGGTCGAAAATGTATTAACACAACTAAAACCGTGTCATGGATAAAAACTCAAAATATTTAATTTTCACATCGTGAAAGCCAACAAACTTTGTGTTCTGTTAGATGAAACCCAAAATTGCTGGTTACTCCGGCAATTAGCTCAAACTAGGCAATCTCCAAATTTCAAATGTCACTGCGGTCCTCACAAGGTTTATTGGACATCTCTTAAAGGAAACCGAACGTATTCATCTAATAATCATTCAAACTATAGCTCGACAAGTTGGAAATCTCGTTTCGGAGGAGCATAAATTGCGTGTGATCCCTCACTATGCCTACGGCGGAGTTTGCGACTTGTTCCGGCCGCCCTGGATGCCAATAATGTGATTGGTAAATGGAGTACAGACCTTGCCACTTATCTTCACAGTCGCTGTTATTGCCACTGTCTGTTCCACTCAGAGGAGGTTGTGGATAATACAATTTCGATTATTTCCATATCTAGAATATGGGTTTTTGCATACGTTTCTTCTAGCTTAACCTTCCTCTAAAGATTTTTCGCGTTTCGCTTCACGAATAATTGTTTTATGGTGAAGTCATACAAAACTGTAGCACCACTTACCAGTGACGGTCCTGCAGACAGCGAGCATGACTTAAAAGCAATAACACTCACTAATCACTAAATTATCCGAAATTAAGTTCATTAGAATCTCTACCTACTCACTCTAACACAGTTAACAATTAGACGTATACCAAAACACATAATAAGCCTGCCCAACACTCCGGAAGCCGCAGTGATATTGGGTCATATGAATAAAAATGAGCTCTTGCTCAAGAGTACTTGCTCCGGAGCAAAGTGAGTCTACTCCGCAGCACTGAGCAGAAGCTCCATTTCGTATGAATAAAAACTTCGTATGTCTCCGAAGAACTTACTCATGTCTCGCGAACATTTGCTCGTCGTGAACAAGTGATAGTGTAGGCTAAGAGTTTTAAAATTTAGTTTCTTGAGCAACAAAGAGGTTACATACGTTACACGCGTCGCGCACATTTGTGCGGAATAATAAGCAGTGTTTTGTTTTTGCCGAAATGCTAAGCGAATATAAAATTATTTTTGAAAGGAGCCAGCTTTCGGAGGTACGCTGTGGCCGAAACGAAACGTTACTAAGTTTGAAAAAACAGTACCCCGAAAAATTCCAAGTAAAAAAGAGCGATGGCCAATTAAGATAGAAGATATGCAATATGAAAACGCGCCTGAAAGCAAACGCCGATAAAAATCGTACCAACCATACATTGTCCTTTTCGACAAAGATTCTAATAGTCTACATCACGAGAATTTCGCCTTGTCTTGTTTTTGGTCCGCTGCATCTGCATATCAACACACGGTAAAAAACCGGCCAATTTAATCTTACTTTTCAAACGTGAGTCTGCTACTAAGGTCCCTCCGAAATTTTGGAGCAAGTGCTCACTCAAGAGAGTAAACGCTTAACTTTATTCATACCAATTCTGAGCATTTGCTCGCCAGTTGAGAGTACGCTCAGAGATGGAGAACGTGCTCAGGGACTGAGCAATTGCTCACCAACTTTATTCATACGAAACTGAGTAGGATCTTCGAAACTCGGAGCAAAGAGTACTTGCTTACGTTTATTCATACCACCCATCGAGTGAGCTGACTGAACAGCTGGAGTGAATTTGAGGTCCAACTTTTTTTTAAATAGACGTCAAAGAGAGTAGGGGCAGGGTAGTGTTCTGTTTGTTTCCGGGCCATAGAAATGAGCTCTGCAGGGCGCTGTCTCGACGGACCGATCGCAAGCACCCGCGGGCGTTCTCGGGCAAGAGGGGAATCAAAGAACGCTGGAGAGGGAACCTCTCCTCTCTGCAATCTGTGCATGCGCAGTCGGAGGGAGCTTTCTATCTTGTTCACCTTTCGCACTACAATGTCAAACTCTAGGACGACCCTGAGTGTCGATTTCTTCTACGGTGACCATAATAAAGCAGCGTTTACAGGTTTACAGGTCAGCAGACACATTCTACTTCTTCCGGAAGTTCCCTGCCGATGCGTACTAGCTTCTCGCGAAGGCACCGGTCGTGCCTTTCTTTCCCCCTTCTCCGTCTACGAGCAGGCAATCCTGTTATGACTGCGCGCAAGAGACCAGGCAGCGGGCGCTCTATCCAGCGCCGCTAGCGGATCATGCTTCATCAGAGCCGAGGTGGAGGGCGAGCCCTCCCCAGAGGCGGCGCCCGGATATATACTCGGGTCCGCAAGCAGAGTTTACAGTCAACAGACAGTAAGCAGTCAGCGTCAGAGTCGGCGAGCAGAAGTGTGGCCCAGACGCTGCAAGAGTTGCCAGATCGTAGCAGCAGAAGTTAGCGTGAGTGTTACGTGGCCGGGAGAGCCACAGCCACCCGCAGGACCCAGCGTCGCAAGGGGACGGCGCTAGGACGGACCGCCCGTGCCGGGCAGGTTCGGACGACGACCTGCATAAGCGAGCAGGGACTGGGCATTCACGTCGGCCTAACGTGGAGGCAGAGTCCCGCGTTCGGGAGCAGCAAGGCCAGCCCGGAGGCCGGGGCAGGTGGAGCTGTGGGCAAGGCGTCCGCACAGCTCCTCGCATCAGAGCGGGCACAACGTCAAATCAGAAGCTTCAAGAAAGTGGCCGAAGTCCGCGTAACAATGACATGTGGTTGCAGAATGCTCTTTTGGTTGTACAAAGTAAAAGATGAACAAATCTTGTTGCATTTCACTCGGCTTTTATTTGATGGACATAACAAAGCTCGTTCACTTAGCCAGTCCTTTCCGAATGGTATTCATAATTTCCCCACAAGAATTTCCAGTTTAGTTGACTTTTTCTCTACGTTCCCACAACGGTTTTTAAAGAACAATTGAAGGGCTCTATAAAGGGAACAATTAAAGCTCTAGGTAACGCTAAGAGAAATTTTCGCTTTTTGCGTGAAATAGTACCTTCTCCAATAAACGCGGAAAATTAGAATTTGTGATTTTCGAAAGTTCGCAGTTTTTAATGAAAATAGGACTTACACCATATTTATGGCTGCACTATGCTCCATTTCAGGGGGAGGGAAATGCGTGTGTAAAACACTCAAAGAAATTTAAAGATTCATTTCAGATTCAAGGGGCTGATTCAAGTTCGGAGATTGACATCTACTTCACCGAAAGTTCCTGCAATTGAAATCGCCGCACCACAACATTTCAAGTGGCAAATTCCTCTTCCTTCTTTGCAGTCTGTATTTGCTTTTTTAAAACATTTCCTTTTGTCTCCGTGGAACTTTACCGCATTGTATCGATAGTGTTTTTACATGAAGTGCACGCTGCTTTAAGTGATGTCTCAAATAAAGATTACATCAAGCACAACTGAATATGTCAGTATATAAACGTTCATATTTATGGGGTCGTAAGTAAGCCATCTTTGGTGACTTGGTTCCCGAATATTTCGTCCGTGCTCATACATCCTACTACCCAGCTATCCTGGTGCGCAGCTGCCCCACCTACTACCTCTAACCCTAACACGAAGCGGCACGTGAAGTCTTGCGACCCGCGTGGCGGGAGGAAGCATGAACTTGGCAGGCCTAAAGCATTCATACGACAATTTATTTTCTCACATATATTTTACTTTTCCGCTACTGCTTACGCAGTAGAGAGAAACTTGCGTAATGCTGCGCGAAAAATGGCGCATTTTCGGCAGATATTACAGAAGCTCGGTAGCGAAAAAGTGGATAAATCCAGTTACTATATTTAGAAAAAAATCCTCTAACACGTGGGGGCAAAATCCTCTAACACCAGAATCTATGTTTTGTAGATCCTTGACACTGAAAAATAGAATGACGGCAAAACGTCTTCTGTCCGTCAGTCTGTGAACAACGCTGGCTGCTAAACCGTTCAGCCGATTTTCTCCAAAATTAATGCTTCGGAATCAATCTAGCCGATATCGCAGTTCCTTGAATTCGAAACTGAAATGTTAATTTTGGGGGTTACTTTATACGATGCCTCTGGAAGAATTTCAAAAAAATGACAGCGATTTTGATTAAATGTTGTTGGATAGTCTGAAGGACGTTAAAAAGAATGGCGCAGGTCTCATGTTGGTTAAAAACTGATTTTTCGAAAATTGAAAAAAATCAAGAGCGGGTCGGATAGGAAATCTGGTGATAAAAGGGAATAGACGTTCTTAGACGGCGTCTAATCAAATACTACGAACAACGCAAATTTGGTCTGCAAAACTTTCAAGAACGGCCTAGAAAGTCAGATGTCACAGCGTGGAAGGAGCAAAAAGAAACTTTTATACATGTGAAGATAATGAGGGTAGTGACAAAAACAATGATTATGATGATAATAAGGAACAAGAAAATAATAGTTCAGCAATAAGTCTGAACATTCTCATCAACAAGGCAAATTTCTAGTCAATAAGACATTTTGTAACTTCATTTTGGCTAAATAGTAACAATTAGTTACAATTTTTCAGGAGTCCTCTTCAAAATTAGGGGGTTGTCTTATATTTAAGTAAATACATTATCTAAGCTAGTTCTATTTCCCTTACACTGGAAAGATTCCTAAACAAAATTGTGATTTTCACTTCCAAAACAGACTATCTCGTATTATGCATTTGCACTGGCATCTGATCATTTTATTCTGCTAAGTAGGATTTCATCAGAAATGTTTTCCTTTATTTATTAAAAGTTTATTATTATGGAACGAATTTGAAATATTTGAGCAGGCACTATTCACCATTTCTTTTTTGCACAAAACATTAATATCTGCAAAAAGGTAGTCATTTAGTTACTCAAGGCATATCATTCACATGAAGGAAAATAGTACTTTGCAGAAGTCCATATTCAATTTGCATGAATTCTGAGAAAAGTAAATAAGGTTGTTTGACACCAGATGGGGTTTTCTACTTACTGCGATCAATCTCAAAGATATGAAGTTATACAATCAAGTGCAATGCACTAATTCTGTTTGACAGTAGAATCGAAAGAAAAAAATTATTATCCAACAAATCATATGCTTTTGAAAGATCTAAAAATAATTGATTTGTGCTTCTTTATTGTCCACCGACGATACAACACCTTTAACAAAAGAAAATATGACTGCTTACATGGATTTATATTTTTTGAATCCATGATTTCAGAAAAGCAAGCTGTTCGAAGGAATGTAACCAGTCTAAGGGAACCAGTAATTTAGCAGTAGTGTTATTATCTAGTAATTTAGTTGTAGTGTGTATCTAGTGGTTTAGAAGTAGTAGTTAGTAATTTAGTATAGTACACATCTCTCTAGTAATTTAGAAAATCTCTAAATGAGGTGATTACGATTAAGGCTTCAGTAAATTAGGTCAAGTTGTCTCACAAATTACCCTTTTCACATGACCAATCTGATATATATATATATATATA